TAGTTTGATGTGGTTCCTATTTTATTGCAGCAACCGCCGTTAGAATAAAACTTTATGCATGGAGAAACTTTCACTGGTACTTCTTGAAATGCCACCATGTTTTCCCCGGCAGTTTGGCTATTGTGCTGTTATTGGTAACTCAGGAGATCTTTTGAAAACAAGGTTTGGGAAGGAGGTAGATGGTTATGATGGTGTTATTAGAGAAAATGGAGCCCCCATCCAAGTTAGTCTACGACTAAAAGCTCTTGATAAAGTTTTGGAGTTAGGCTAAACTGATTGAAGATATTAGGAAGACGACAGTGAGAGTGAGTAAGAACGAAAAGACGGGCGTCCATTCCTCCAAACTTAAGGGATGCCCGTCCACAGTTTATGGACGGGCATCCAAAATCAAGGGACGCCCGTCCACAATTTATGGACGGGCGTCCAAAATCAAGGGACGCCCCACCCACAATTTATGGACGGGCGTCCAAAATCAAAGGACGGCCGTCCATAACTAATGAACGGCCATTCCTAATTTTTATAAAAAAAATTTATTCTATTTTACTGATGGACGGGCGTCTTTTAAATGGGGATGCCCGTCCGCAGTAAATGGACCCCCGTCCATATAATATGGACGGGAGTCCATTGTAAGTGAACGGTCGTTCATAGTTGATGAACGGCCGTTCACTAGAAAAAAAAAAATTAATAATGTGAAACATGTCTGATTTGCTAGTGTGAATTACAGAACAAGTAGGCCGATATAAGATTTCGGTGTAAAAAAATCGGTGTCCCTAGCATTATTGCTTTTATTTTTGGTTCAGTGGTTACATATTCAATTCATCTTGTTGACAAATACGAAATTGAAAAACAGTAAAGTAGGTTCTCAATATATCATTATACCTACATTTTACAAGATCACACATTCCTAATTTTATAATGACTCATATCAAGAGATGAATTTTGCAAGCTAAATAACATTAATACTTAATCATATATATCCTTATATTTTAAAAAACAGGTAAGCATAATAATCTTAATACCCTTTGATGAATGCACTGTTTTCTTTTATATTCGAACTTAGTCAACTGAGCTAATCTGAGCTGGAGTGCATTAACTAATTAAACTAACTAAAAAACTGATTAACTAACAAATAAATTAGTTACAATATTACAACTTGATTTGACTATTATACCCTTATTCCTCTAATATTAACGTCCAAGACAAAAGATGAGCAACTAACTACCGACATTTAATTTCACATTTTGTGAACATGGTGACTTAGTTGCTCACTTTTGGTCAGCACGTTAAAAGCTTCAGGACGGGCGCATCAAGGATTGACTATGAAGATATTGATTTTATATAGGGGTGAGCGGTTCTGGGTACCTTGTATTTTTTAGGGGAACCAAAACCGGAACTGTACAGTACAGGTTCCCAAAAAAGGAACCAAAACAGCATAGTGCATGTTCTTAAATTCAAGGAATCGAAACCTAAAATGCAGGTTTTAATTCCTTTTCCGAGTACCCTATAAAAAATCAATTACCCCCCATTAGTTTAAAAAATGACAAAAATACCTTAATTTTACAAATACACCCTTAACAAATTTTTATTACTCATTCATTTGTGTCCAATGTGACTCAAAAATCATCTAATCTCTAGGCAACACTTGAATTCAATCGATTCATCACAATTCACATAAAATTCCTCAATCAAAACCAAAACACAAACAATTAATTAAATTAATTAAACAATCATACTATAAATTTATAATTTAATATTATAATTAATTAAATTTCTGATTGTTTAATTAAGTATTGTACTAATGTTTATAATGGAATATTATAATTAATTAAGTAATCATACTATAAATCTATAATAATTAATTAAATTTCTAATCATTTAATTAAGTATTGTACTAATGTTTATAATAGAATGTTATAATTAATTAAGTAATCATTTAATTAAGTAATCATACTATAAATTTATAATGTAATGCTATAATTAATTTAATTTCTAATCATTTGATTAGGTATTGTGCTAATATAAAAAATTACTAATGTTTATAATATAATGTCATAATTAATTAAGTAATAATTTCATTATGTAATGTTATAATTAATTATGTGATCATACTATAATGTAATGTTATAATGAATTAAGTAATCACATTATAAATCTTTAATATAATATTATAATTAACTAAATTTCTAATCATTTAATTAAGTATTGTACTAATGTTTATAATGAAATGTTATAATTAAATAAATAATCATTTGTTTATAACGTAATGTTATAATTAATTAAGTAATCATACTATAAATTTATAATATAATGTTGTAATTAATTAAATTTCTAATCATTTAATTAAATATTGTATTAATGTAGTAAATTACTAATGTTTATAATATAATGTCATAATTAGTTAAGTAATCATTTCATTATGTAATGTTATAATTAATTATGTGATCATACTATAATGTAATGTTATAATGAATTAAGTAATCATACTATAAATCTTTAATGTAATATTATAATTAATTAAATTATTAATCATTTAATTAAGTATTGTACTAATATTTATAATGAAATGTCATAATTAATTAAGTAATTATTTAACTATAATGTAATATTATAATTGATTAAGTAATCATTTAACTAGTAATGTATTAATGTTTATCAATTTATTTTATATAATTAATTAATTACTAATTTATTACAGATATACTTAGAACTTGATAATTGAAATAAATAACTAAATATTATATTATTATTCAATGAAATATACTATTCTATTCAAAAATAATTCTTTTAATCACATTAAAATACATTTAATTGGTTTTAATTTCAATTATACACTTAATTAATCAAAACTTTAATATTAATATATTATAATATATTAAAGTTTTTTATATGATGTAGTTTATGTTAGTAAATGATCCATATACGCAGCGAAAACAAAAAAATATAATACAAGGATCGTTTACATGAGCCAAGATCAAGGGTATAATTTTACAAATTTATATTAAAGTAAAATCTGCACAAAAGGTTAATCAAGAGTTTAGAATAACATACGCACGTTTGGAGGCTCCTCCAAAATAGTCTTTGTACGTATTTGCTACCGACCCAAGCATAGGATCGAACTTATGAAGTCCACACGAAGACAATCACAAAGAACCAAAGAGGAATTTGCTAGATCCTCTTCGGCTTTAAGATTAAAGAAGAATGAAATCAAAATGAATTGATTTTGGGCAAAATGGGTTTCTGCCTTGGGAGAGAAATGGGGCTGCTGTGTATTTGGTTTTACAATGAAATTGAGCTAATCAATTAATTGTTGCATTTTACAAATAAACATTTTCTTTTATAGTAAAACTTTAATGCCCTATTCCCATATGGAATAGGCTTAGGCTCCAACCCAAACACCCCATGTTATCAAACACTCCCTAATTAGATATTTTATTTATTTCATCATTATCTCAATTAAATTCAATTAATATATATTTAATATATATATTAACATTTAACAATAATGATGATTTAATTAAATATATGTGAACACTTATTTAAACGTAAGTTTACTTATTTAATTTTTCTAATTAAATAAAGGCTACGACCTTCAGCAAATTTAATTGCATTGTGAAATTACCAAAATACCCTTTTGCCTTAAAAAGACGAAAACGCCCTTCCTTCTTCTTGGATCTTAAATTATCTTCTATGTGTATGACTCATAGGCTACTCATCATACCGGCAGTGTATAGTATCGCGATTAACACCAATTAATCGTCTCACTATACACAGACCAAGATTGGCCCCTAACAAGGCACCATGGTCACCCGATATATTCAGATTCAGCAAAGTAGCTACCTGTCAACGATATGGTTACCGTACAATTCGATCCTTTCATCATACGTTATCTCTACGAGATGAAGGCATAGAAATAGTGTCAACCTTTGGTTACTCTTGATATTATGTATTCAGTTTCTAGACCAATGACCTGTATTATAATCTAGATAGAGCAACAACTCAATCCCACTGTGGCCATAGTTTTAGTGTCATTGCCATATATTAAATTGCGTCGTGAGATAACTTCTCCCGTACCCGGGAGTGATGAATCATCTATCTATCTACTATAGTCTTGATACACTCCTCGATATAGCCAATCACCACCATATTGACAGCTCTGAAAAGAACTACGTTAGGCTAGTGTCAAACTACACCAATCGGTGCACAAGGCGTTCCGGTGATCTCAAGTTTAAGGATCACATGCACCACCATTCGTTAGAGGATTTATTCCATAGACACTGGAGTTACCATCCATATGGAATCCTCTAGTGGATCAGTCTAGTGAACTTGCTGTGTGTATTTGCCTATAGCAAGCACCCATGTGTTACACCAGGTTGTCACCAAACAACCTTGACAAGTGACATCAGTCACTGCCTTTTAACAGGGTCGTTCAACACTATGATAGCCTTACCGTATTATTTGTGCCCTTACTTCAGAATAATACTGGGGCTACAGACGTTTCTAGAATGGCCACCATATGTGCTCATAGGGTTCTCATTATCAAGATTTGAAACACTTGATACTCTCGTCACGGTTCCACCATTCTAAGGACATATATCAATACATATTGCAATAATAATTATTCACGCGATATAGAATAAAATGCATTTTATTGATTAATGAACATTATTACAAAGAGTCAATTCTACAATAATTGATTGGCTCTAGAGCATCTACTCTAACAGTTTATATGTAATAAGTATAATTGTATATTTATTTAATTAGGTTATTGTAAAAATTTAACTTTTTCCATTTTATTTTTTTTATATGTAAAATTACAATAGACCCCATTCTTCACAGATATTTCATTTTAGCTCAGGTTCCAAAACAAGGTACCTGCTGCAGGTTCCAAGCCGGGTATCCGTTGTAGGTTCTTTTTTCCAAGTTTTGATTCTGGTTCCGGCTCCGGCTCCTCCACATGTAGGAACTGGAACCAGAATCGCACAGTGTCGGTTCAAAAAAAAATGGAACCGGATATATATATAGGTAGGGCAATTGGGAATTCAGATGTAAGGATTTCTATAGCAAGGGCATTGCTTAGAGACCCAAAAATCCTACTCCTAGATGAAGCCACAAACTCACTGGATTCACATTCTGAAAAGGTTGTGCAGGATGCTCTAAATCAGGCTTCAACCGGACGAACTACAATAATCATCGCCTACCACCTTTCTTCTCTGCGCAATGCTGATTTAATTACAGTCATTCATTCCGGAGAAGTGGTAGAATCAGGTTCTCATGAGGAGCTCTTGCAAAACATAAATGGCCCATACTCAACAATGGTGCAACAACAGAAAACCTTAACTGATGGTGAAGTTATTGTCTCCCTTAACAAAGAAATTGAATGCAGAAATGATAACGAATCGATTCTCGAAAGTTCCGGCGATAATAAGGAAAGTATCGAGAAGCCTGAAGATCATTATGATCCCCCAAATTTAAAGCAGTTGATGCTTATGGCAGCACCTGAATGGAGCTCAACCTTTTTAGGTTGCATCGATGTAATTTTCTGTGGGTTAATTCAGCCATTGCACACTTTTTGCATGGGTTCTCTTCTATCTGTTTACTTTCTAAACGATAAAAATGAGATTAAATCAGAGACAAGAAAGTATTGTTTCGCCTTCCTGTTCTTTGCTGCCTTGGCTTTCATCACGAATGTTATTCAGCATTACAATTTTGGTCATGTGGGGGAGAGCTTGACCAAAAGGGTGAGACAAGAAGTGCTTGGAAAGATTTTAACATTCGAGATGGAGTGGTTTGACGATAAAAACAACAATAGCGGCGCCATATGTTCAAGATTGGCTACTGATGCTACCATGGTAAGAACTCAGGCCATTTCCTCAACTACTTTGGCAGCTGTTAGGGCAAAAAAATGTACGAAAAAAGTAATCAGACAATATGATGAATCAAAATGTTAATATAAGTTTCAAATTTGAAATTGAGGAAAAGTTGTATAAATAAAAAACGTAATTAAGTTTGAAATTGGAGAAAATAAGTGTAAGCAAAAAGCTAATAAAGTTTCAAATTGGGTAAAAACAACCTAATTAAGTTCGCAATTAGGGAAAAATAGTTTTAAAAAAACAACTAAATTGAGTTTAAAATTAGGGAAAAAGTAGTATAAACAAATCCGTTTGAACCTCGATAAATTAATACCCTCGATTAAATAATATTTTTTGTCGGACCCAACTTGAGACCAATTTAGTAAATTAATATTTCATTAAATTTATAAGATAATACATTAGAACAAAAAAAATCACACACACACTTAGTACCACTTGATATATATATTAAAATCTCCTATACATTATATATATATATTATATATATATATATATATATATATATATATATATATATATATATATATATATATATATATATACTACACATTATTCAATTAAGAGGCCTTTGTAAATATAACTTCAAAGTTACTTGTTTCCTCTTGAAATTGATGTCTTCTTAGACCTCATCTCTAACTTTTCTTAGGGTCTTTGATTCAAGGAATGTTGTATTTCTGGAAATGTTATATTATAAAAAGAAAGATTACCTTGAAAATTACTAAGAATGTTTAGGGAAATATGTTCAGGTTGGTTGACAAATTGGTGAGTATGTATATTAATTTGTTTAGTTGGGGAATAGATTGGTGGGTATGTTATTTAAATTACTGATTGCCCTCTAATTAATATTTATTTTAGATTATTTATAACCCCCTGCATTTAAAAACTTAGCAAAAACAACCTCATAATAAAAGTTTGGAAAATCAATAATGCACCCCCACCACCCAGCCATTGCCAGCCATCGCAACTACCGTTGGCCACCTACAGCTGGCAACTAACGATGCACGGAAGGCCAAAAATGGCCTCCGTGCGTCGATATGGCCATTTCTGGCCAGCTAAATGGCCTATTGAGGCATGGCGGCCATTTTCGGCCTTTCTGCGCCATTCTAGCGGTGGTGGTTGCTAGCGGCCAACAACGACAGGTGGGTGGGGGTAAAGGTGGAAAGTACCCCGCCCGGCCCGGCCCCGGCGGGTTACTTGTTTTGGCGGGCTGGCTCAACCCGCCCGCCAACAAAGGCGGGCCGGGTTAGGCCCGCCAATTAAGGGAAAGATGCTGCCCAGCCCGGCCCGCCAGCCCTAACCCGCCGGTTAGGCACGGTCCGAGCGGTTACCCGATTTTATATTTTTTTTTTTGTGTTTTTTTTTGTTTTTGTTTTTTTAATTATCTTTTCAAATAATAATTATAAAATTATTTTTAGTTAACTTTTCAATAATCAATATCAATTCAATTCATTTTTTTTTTTTTGTTAACATTTCAAATATTAATTCAATTTTAATACAATAAATTGTAATATAAGAAAATTAGACTTATTCATTTATCAAAAATAAATAAGAATTACAACAATTATTGCCTCGTTAAAAACCTCACCAAGAAAAACCCAATGGGAGAAAAACTTGGTAAAAAAAAGAGTGCATAATTGACAATTAATTTACAATTACATTTTACAAAACACTAAATTGGGTGGTTCACTAGGACCTCCCTCATCTGTATCATCTATATTACAAATTGAAATGATTCTATTAAAGCATTGTCATAACCTCGTATTGATCTTGATGGCGCGATCGTTCCCAATCTCGAAGACTGTGAGACTTCAATCATTTTGGAGCAAGTTTAGTCCTCCTTTCATTTAAAATCCTTCCACTTGCACTAAATGTTTGTTCGGATGGACGGTTGAGACAGGAACAGCGAAAACATCCAAGGCGTCTTGATAATACCGGAAAAATACATTTTCTGGCTCTCCAATACTCTAAGAGATCAAAGTGACCTGTTGAAACATTTCGGGGGTTGCCAAATATTGTTGAAGTTCATTACTCTGCGACTCCATGGAGGACGCATATTAGTTGTTTGTGTTGTTGGTGGTGGTGCGTCTGAAGAGGAGGCTGTGCTTTGGACTCGGGTCCTCTTCGGCCTATTCAGTGCATTCCAAGAGAAAAGTCTTCATTTGTTTCTTCTGCTACAGCTTCTCTGGATTCGCCTCTTTGCGACTGCGGGTTCCCATACCTGTTTTCATATTGGAATATACTTCGAAAAGACTATTTTTTACCTCTCCTATTTGATTGATATATGATTCGTTTTGTAAATTTTCACTTAAATTGTCAAGACCTTTTTCTAAACGTGCTAATTTAATTCTAGGATCAAATATAGCACCTAAACAATAAAGAAAGGAATGGGTCTCCAATATTTCAAAAAAAAATTTTCCATTGCCTTTATTGGTGCATGTAAAATTTCATCATCTTTGTTTTTGTAATACTCGGAATTTTTATAATTGCATGTATTACCAATGGACTAGTAGGGTATACACACCAGAAAGTTGTAAATGGCTTGGTAAAAACTTTGAGAAAAGAATGAAATACTTTACTATCTTCCAATCATTTTCTACCAAATGATGAGGACCTCTATTATTTGCTACAAAATAACTAATTATATTACATAAGGTAAACATGAATCAAGCATTAAATAAGTACTTTCCATCTACACATATCTGATGCAAAATTTCTAGGAGACATATTGATTTTATACAGCTTCTTGAAATTCAGCATTTCTTTATTACTACTATAGTAATCCAAGCTAAAGATTCCCTAATTCTATCAATATTATTTTTTAATTAATTTTTTCATACCACTTTTCACATTAAATTAATATGACATGCACACACATTGGTGAAAAAAACTTCAAATTTTATATAAAGATAATTATTTTGAAAAAATTCTTAGCTTTACTATTAAACTTGCATTATCTAAAGTTAAACTTATCACTTTATCAATAATATCAATCTTCTAAAATTTCAATATTTATTATAGATTTCTAAACCACTATGATCCACATCCATTAATCTAAATCCTAATAAGATTTATTATTTAAATTCATTCAAAATAATGACTAGTCACACAAATATAATCTTGTTTATCTCTACCACTCCAAATATCAGCAGTTAAAGCCACCACTATATGACAATATGAAATTTATTTTTAAATTCTAATTTCATTTTTTTAAACAATTTTATTAAATCATTTCTAGTTGCAGTTTTAGAAAACTTTAATCCTGAAAAATGAATTTTGAACAAATCTTTCAAAATATTTATCTTCTGCCATATTAATAGGTTGATCAGATGCAGCAATATATAAACTAACTGTTCCCTATATACATCAGATTATAACGCCAAGTATCCCATATTAGTTATTTGATTGTTGATTGGTTTCTCTATTTCCATGTTGATTAATATGTTTATTAGCATGCCTTTTTAAGTACTAGTACCATTACCTGAATCAGCTTTATAAACATTTGCACATATTTGCATCTTGCTTTCTGACTTGAACGCCATTTTCGTCTCATAAAACTTGTCGAAATGCGCCCAAACGTCTGATGTGTGTCTGTTTTCGCTTTCGACGGCAGTTGTGATCCCGCCTCAGCTTGAGATGAAGTTGGACGAGGACGACGATTACGAGGACGACTTCTAGAACCACCGGGCGCTGTTGGAATCGACGCCATATTTTGAGGTGTACGGATTCTGAGACTGGGATTGGGACAGCGGGACTATTTGAATATCCTGCATTCATAGTAAAATCACGGGACTAGGACTATAATATTTTTTCTTCCTCATTGAAATGATGGGGGAGAGAATATCTATCCATTGTAGACTTGTAGTTGAAAAAAATGATGTAGAGAAATAAAATAAAGAAGAGATTTGGAATATGGTTGGAAATATGAATTGAAAATTGCAAACCTAATAAAATTAAAATAGAGCAAATTGATACAAAATATTAAAGAATAAATGAATAATTGACTTGAGAGTTGAGGAATGAGAATATGAGAGAATGAGAGAATTTGAGTTGTGGAAAAATATGAGAGTTTAGGTCCATTTAAGAAAAAAAATAGGGAAAGAAAATGACGAAAAGACCCCTCCAACGGCTAAAAACGGCTAGATTTCAAGGGTAAAGTGTAATTGAAAAAATAAAAATATTAATAATTTTTTTTTTTTTTTTTTTGGGCCAACCCGCCAGCAACCCGCCGGGTTGCGGGCCTCTTCGAAAGAGGCCAAAATAGCAACCCGGCGGGCCGCGGGTTACCATAGTGTAACCCGGCCCGCCATGAAGGCGGGCCGGTTTGAGCCCTCTTTTTTGCGGGCCGGGTTAGGGTTGGCCCGCCTAACCCGGCCCATATTTTCCACCTCTAGGTGGGGGTGGTGGCTTGGGTGGGTTGCAATTTGTTTTGAATTCAATGGTAATTTTATCCAAAAAGTTAATTAATTGGGGTAAAATTGTAAAAGCTAGATTCATGTAAATTGATTTTAAAACAAGGACATTATTATCCAAAAATTTTAATAATAAGGGATATAATTGTAAAAATAATAATAATAATAATAATAATCAAGTAATCTTATAATACCTAAGAAAATAGAAATAATCAAATTACCTCTAATATTACCGACAATAACTATTATTGGTATTGGAAGATTACTAAAATCTTATATTACTTGACAACCAAATATGGTAATCAAATAATATAAGACGACATAACCTCAGTAATCCTCTATAACCTCCAACCAAACGCCTTCTTAGTGCATTAAAAAGCTTTAGTGTAGTGTTCTCATATTACAAGAGAAAATTATGTAATGTGATTGTTGCTTTGAGTGCATCTTTCAAGTTAAACTTTTCTAACACCCACGGTTGCAATTGCTTTTGGGTGCAAGTTGGATTTTCTATGTGGTACTTACACAGAACGCATTTCATCCGTCATTGTTGATTTCTTTACACCTTTAAGATGAGAAGCCATTTTGAAAGAAGATTTTGAGAGAGAAAGCTCTGATACTAACTTGAACTTGAGAAACTTTGAGAGAAGATTTAGAAAGGGATTTGTGAATTGCTTGAGTGCCAAGAAAAAAACACTCATGTACTTATATACAACAAGAATAAATACAGTCTAATATTTACAAGGAGAAAACAATTCCCTATGAACTAATTCTTATGTCACATTAACTATGAATTATTCCCTATACCACATTAACTCCTAGCTATAAGCTAGGCTTATGATGTTATTTCCAATAACTAATTCATATAGTACATTAATTATACACAATATATACATGTATTAAGTTCATTAATGTTTTGAAAAAAAAAAAAAAAAAAGATAAAGAAGTTACCACAAATTAATAATTTATAAATTTATACGATTAAATAATATATCGATTAATTAATAAATTTTCATGGTCACAAAGATATCAATTTATCATGGTTAATTGTAATTAAATTAAAAAACTATTTTCGTTATTAAATGAGGTTTAATTTTCTTTTTTTAAATAAAACAAAAATGTATTTAACAATGAGGATATTGACAAATTTGATACTTTTTGATACAACTTTTGGCTTACATTAATATGCTCTTATAATATAAGGGTGTGTTTGTTTCTTTCACTAAAATCTTAATAGTATTTAGTTCCACTTTAACACTTAAATAATAAAAAGTGTTTAGACATGTGATTTATTTGTTTTTTAATTAAACATATCTAGATAAAGTTTTTTTATATATTTATTTTCTAAGATACTATATATATATATTATATATATATATATATATTAATATTATATATAATATGATATGGTAATTGATAGTCATCATTGCCCTTTCTACAACTTGAACTCAAGCCGTGTCTTTAACTCTTCAATCTATCCTACCTTATCAAGGCGGGATGGTATGAGGCTTATTAGAATATTATCAGGCGGATGTATGAGTTAATTTTAGGAATTATTATTATCATATATGAAGGAGATAAAAAAGATTATATAATGATAAATTTACATGCAAATTTTAAATAAAACCAATAGTTGACTTTGGATTGTCGACCAATGGCCAATGCGGCGATTGACCACCATGCTAAAGATCTTCCCTATATTGATGGCATCAACGCAAAACTCTCGCAGCCATCTATCATCATAAATATATTAAACAAAAATGATGAAAAAGTAACGGTAATCATTTCTCTCTCTCCTATGGTCAAAATAAGAACAATTTTGTCCCATGAAAGTTGTTTGGGTGCATGGATCAACTAGAGAGCTTCCTATCGTTTTTGACTTGATGAAAATGCCCCATTGATGGACGGCGGTCGTCGCGACTGGCAACTAATCCGCGAGGAGGGTGGTCATGTGAGAGAGAACTTGAGTTGACTGTAGGGTGTGCAAAAAAAATCAGTAACCGAACCAAACACAATAACCGAACCGAACCCAAATTTTCGGTTACTCAAAAATTCGGATCGGTTTCGGATAGTTTTTATAAGATACCCGAATTTTCGGTTTGGGTATTGGTTATTTAATTTTAGGAAACCGGGTACCGGTTTTTATTATTAAAAAAAAAAAATAAGACGTCAGACTTTCAATTTTCAAAGACAAAATGCAAAACCCAAAAGCCCCAAATCTGAAATCCCTTATGCCCTTCCTAAACTAAAAACCAGTCACTGCGTAAACTTCCACTCTTCGTCCTTCCAGTATTCAAGTCTGCAGGAGCTGCACACAAGCGCAACAGCCGCACTCAAACTCATCTCTCTCACTCTAAATTCAGATTCTCGCCTTCTCCAGTCTCAGTCTGCATCTACACCGCACACTCGCACAGCCGCACTCAATACTCATCTCTCTCACTCTCATATTCTCCAATCTCAGTCTGCAAATTATTCTTAATACAGCAAATTATTGGGCTTTGGAATATATATGATTAGATGTGGTTGTGGTCCATATAAATTTATTATTTGCTTCAGTCATTAGAAGTTTTGTGCTAATTTCTTGAGTCTGTATATATAGGACTGCTGGAATGAAATTATGCAGAATTTTCTTTTTGGTTTCTACCAGGATAGATTCCCCTGTGATCTATTTTGTCAAGACTCAAAATCGGTGCGCAATTGAAGAAAGTAATTCGTTTCCATTCTTCCAATATGATCTATTGATCTGCATCAAAAGAATTGGTCCTAGGGAATATATGATAATGGTTTAGAGATTACTTTTTTATTGGAATGTATTTGATTAATGATTAGTATGGTTCAATGATTTGTGTTGGACATTGTCGAATAATAGTTAAGATTGACAGTTGACACACATGAATTTCAAAGTGATATAATTTTGCATTCTCCTAATCTGCTGTATAATTTTAATGAAATTCAGGTAACAAAATCGGATACCCGGTTTGTGACCAGAATTTTCGGATACTTGCAAAACTAGGTATTCTAAAACCGGTTCGGTTAGCGGGTTCATTTTTTGAGGTACCCAAATATTCGGATACCTGATTTTTGGTCAAAACCGGAGCGGGTACCCGGTTTTGCATAGCCCTAGTTGGCTGGTCACTTATTAAATTAGTTCAAAATGAGAAAAAAATTATTTATTCACATGAGGGTATTTTTTATATTTGTATTAAATAATTGTTAAATCTGCCACTGGGCTCTGATTTTATTATGCAAAAGTAAAAATAATGTTGTAAATAAAACAAAACCAATTTGAATAATAATAACAAATGCTAGAGAAATGGCGGCGACCACAGATCCTATGGAGTCGCTTCTGTCCAACTTCGATCAGATCTACGAGGTTCCTTTTCTTCTCTTTCAATTTAAATGCAAACAACTTTTTCGATTTGATATTTCAAATTCGTTCTTGTTTTCCTGTATTTTCTCGTTAAACAAACGGGACTTTATCATTATAATTAATATTAATCGAATTAGGATTTCAAGAGCGGCATCGCGGAGATACAGTTGCTGAGGTCCAATTGTAATGGCGAAATTAAGAGGAGAGAGGCTCTGGAAATCACTTGTAACTCTCTCAAACAAGGTTATTCTTAATTTAATTTAATTACATACCTCTATGTTTCATGTTATGGTGAATTTATGCCTGATTTTGTAGAATCGCTTCGTGGAAAGTACAGATGAACAGAAAATGCCATTTAACAATTTTAAGTGCTTTTCTGTTCACATAATTCTGATCAGTTTGTTTAAATATTCTTGAATTCTTGTTTATATCAGTGATCCATAATGCATACTGTGAGTATCAAAGCAGTAGTCACCTTGGTACATGGCTTATGGGAGTTGGCAATCAATTGTATTTGGGTTAAAATAGTTTTAGTGAATTGTTTAAATGAATAAATCTAGACATTAAGGGGTGTTATTATGTTTTTCTGTTCATTACTTGTGCAAACTGGCCAGTTTCTTTGAATTAGAAATTTAATGTAATTATATACCTCTATTGTTTCATGTTATGGTGGGCTTGTGACTAATTTTGTAGAAACCGCTTCGTGAAAATACAGATAATTAGAAGATGTCATTTAACAGTTTTAAGTAATTTCTTATCTCTTATTTCTGCCAGTCATTAAAAAATTGATTCAAAAGCTTTGCGTTAATTGTCATTCTCTCATGTACTCTTTCTTGCATTCTTGTTTATATCAATAATCCATAATCCTTAGCATGGATATTATCAAAGCAGTAGTCACCTTGGTACATGGCTTATGGGAGTTGGTAAAACTGTAATTTGGTAAAAATAGCTTGTAATGAATAAATCTAGACATTGAATGGCTATATTATGCTTTTCTGTGAGTACTTGTCCAAATTTGCCAGTTTCTTTGGTGAGTAGGACTGTTCTTAGCTCAGTTCTGTACTATCGACATGAGTAGTTACTGGCTGTGACGGCTGCATCTCTGTAAGTAAATTGAAGCAATATACATAATGCAGAAAATGAGCGAGTGAAAAAACGTTATACAGAATCTTTAAATAATCTGGCAGATCAGGTGCGTAATTTGTTTTACTTACTTTTATATGTAGTCTTTCACTATTTACTTTCTTAGAATTGTGGGAAATGAATTGTGTGAATAAGTGAAAAATGTTTCATGGAAATCAGATCCTGAATTTTTGTTCCTTGTATTATGAAATATACAGCTTGAATACCACAGTAAATGCCAGGTAATGAAAGAGGAGCTCAAGAGAGTGAATAATGAACATCTCACTAAAGAAGATGTGAGTTACTTTGATAATTGACTCTTCATTTCTCTTCGCCAGTGATTTACCTTGTGTGATATGTTCTGGTTAGAATATATATGTATATATGGCAATGAAAATAGTGACAATTTAAGATATAATTTTCCAGAGTGTCTACTGGTGTAATTTTAGTATTTCTATGGGCAGAAAACCTGTAGAGAAAATAAAGTTTTCTGCTTTAGGCAAGCTGTTTGTTGAACTCTACACACTGCAGTAAGAACTTTATATTTCTGAGCAGGAACTTAGGAAGGCCATTGATTCGCTTAAGGAAGATAATGCAAGAAAGGTCAAGGACTTAGAGTCTCAAATTAGGTAACTTCCAGAGTAAAATGACATTGCTCAAATATATGGAATTCCTTCTAAAATGAATTGATTTTACATTTATCAGAGGCCTTTTACTTGAAAAAGCAACAAATGAAGCAACACTAAACCACCTTCGCCAAGATTTAGTGGCACATAAAACACATATGCAGGTTCTAGCAAAAAGGTTGGACCAAGTCCATTTCGACGTGGAAACAAAATGTGAGGTCCAACAGTTGTGGTGAATTCTTCAATTTCTTATCAGGTTTTCTTAGAAGAAGACTAAAGGTAATTTGATTATGCGATGACAGATAACCTCGAAATTCAGGATTTGAAGGATTGCCTCCTGCTTGAACAGGAAGAGAAAAGTGACCTGAGCAAGAAACTCCAGGACTTGGAAAAGGAATGTATGCCATTCTCTTTTGTCTATGATGCTCATATGGTCCCATGTCTTCTATGATGCTTGTTTGGTTAAGTGAAGTAAAATATGATCTCAGTTGAGTGGTTGTATTTAAATATTGATTTGTTGACGCCGATCAGTAAATACTACCCTCCTAACTCGAATGACTTGGTTTTATCGGAGAGTTTGACCCAGCCAATTTGAGTGACTTGAGTCTGATTTGACTGTTATTTCAAATCATGGTAAGTTAATGATAATTTTTGTATCAACTTCTCTTTAACGAGAATAATTTCTCTGGTAAACTGCAGTGCTGATTAGCAGAACAAAGCTGGTTGAGCAGCAACGAGATTTGACTTCAATCCAGAATGTTGAAACACTAAAGTTGAAGATAATGAAACTAAGAAAGGAGAATGAGATCCTCAAAAGGAAACTTTCTTCTTACCAAGAGCACTAGAGAATTGGTGAGCTGTAGGTGCATGAATTTCAGTTATTGGAGTCATTAATTCAAAGTCATGTGTCTACAACTGTCTGCAACTAAAGCATTGGGTATCTGGATTCGGTTCAACTCTATCAGGAAATTTTGTCAAGTATGGTTTACTTTTTATCTTATACGCACCACTTTACAATGTCATATAGATGCATGGACTCTCAACTATTCATCAAAATGTAAATGAAGGAGACATTGCATTCCTGTACACTGCTTGTGTGCTTTTTGAGTATAGAAAGTTCAGATCAAAATTACAGGAAGAAGAGGGATTAAATGACATCAGAATATGAGTTTTAGGTGTTGCATGAAGAAGATTTAACTTAAGGATGACTTAGGTCTTACTAGTTGTCCCTGCATTCATCCTCTCTTATTGATCCACGCTTGAATCATCTCTTCTGAGCTAGAATTTTGCTGTACAAGTCAGTCAGCGTCGCTAGGTTGCTTAACCGAAACAATAATTGTCACCAAAGTCATTATTTATGATGATCTTAGGCAAAGTCATATCTTGAAGTGATCAGTTCAGTGAATCCGGAAAAATAAATGAATGAAGACTAACGCAGTGGGCTTCATTTATGTGCTAGATAATAAAAGTAGTATTGATCTTGAAGGATGTGGTCATGAAGTTGATTAAGGCATTAGAGAGATTCTCCTCCCAGCAGTATTTTTTCTTTCTAGCTTGTTCAAGTGCATCAGGTTGTTTGATTCAAAGTTTGAGCTACCTTAGTTGAGTATTTGTGTTGGCAATTTGTGGCAGCAACCATAGCCCGCCTTTCATATTTGAAGCTAGGCGGGGTTGATTGTCCAAAATTCAATATGACATCACCCCTTGAACCATTGGCCTCTACTCTACAAAATCCCTCTAACTCCGACACTTGATAACCCCTCGTTCGCCGACGGTCAAATTTGGGATTTAGTAAGCAGTTGAAAATAGTAAACCGAACTGAAGAGGGCATCAGTCACCAGTTNAGCAGTATTTTTTCTTTCTAGCTTGTTCAAGTGCATCAGGTTGTTTGATTCAAAGTTTGAGCTGCCTTCGTTGAGTATTTGTGTTGGCAATTTGTGGCGGCAACCATAGCCCGCCCGTCATATTTGAAGCTTGGCGCGGTTGATTGTCCAGCTTGTATTAAACTATTTCAGTGTGCACGCTCAATTAATTATAAGTATGATTTGATATTTAGTGAAATCAATGTTAAATCGTTGCAAACCATAAACCTATATAGTGACATAATTACATATCAACTCACTCATGATCAGTTTACTATAAATTATAATTCTTTTTTAAAATAAAAATAATAATAATAATAATAACCCTATGTTATTTTGTTTAATCTTCAAAATAAGACTTTTTTAGAATCATTCTTGAAATTATTTATATTAAAGAAATAAAAACTGAAAATAATATATAATTAGATAAAGTGTGTTGTAATCTTTATATGATCAAATAATCAGTTTTTGTATGTATTTTATTATATTTGTTAGATATTTTATATTATATTAATTTTTTTTTTTTTTATATAATAATACGGTAATTTAGGCAAGCATGTTTAGGTCAACACTTTGAAATTTAAATTTACAGGGATTGAAAAGCAATAGTTTTATTTTATTTACCAAATACCCTACAAAGTTTTGTCAAAGCTAATTCCTCTCTTTTATCTTTGATTAAAGTGAATACTAACGTTACAGAAATCCCAAAATACGCTTTAGAGCATGATTGATTATAAAAAATTCAAGGAAATTTCCTGCCAAAAAAGAAAATTTTCATTCACCTTTTGCCTTGGAATTGATGTGTCAAATCACAAATGCAGATATTTGTTTCTACAATTATGTTCCATGGTCTTTTTGTTTGAAGTTACTAGTCAATTACTCAATTGTAACTTCGATGCATTTCCTTAAAAATTCATCAACAGTCTTTTATTTGTAGACCCTTGAACTAATTCACTTACCATATGCAAACTCTTAAAATCAAATCGAGCTTGCATCAAGAAGCTAATAAATGTTATTGTTAGTAGATAATATAACCAATAGAAGACTTCTCCCTTTGTGGTTGGATGATAAACCCTTTAATCACTGGAATTAGTTATATCCTAAAACTTTTATGTTTGAATGGTAAAATTTAGGGGTGAGCACGGGTAGCGAGTAGAACCAGAATCAGAACTGGAACCTACCCGAAACCGGTACTGTGCGGGTAGGTTTCGGTTCTATTTTATTGGAACCGACACTGTACCATTCCGGTTTCAGTTCTTATGTATGGAGGAACTGGAATCGGAATCAAAACCTAGAAAAAGAACTGATTTTTGGAACTTGTTTGGAATCTGTTTGGAACTTGTTTTGGAACCTGTTTGGAACCTATTTTGGAACTTGGACTGCAATGAAAATATGAAATATTTGTGAAATGTGAATAAAGAATAATGGGGGGTTTATATTATTTTACATATAAAAAAATTTAAAATAGAAAAAGTTAAATTTTTGGAATAACCTAATTAAATAAATATACAATTATATTTATTATATATAAATTACACCATATTAAAAACTTTTTAATATATTATAATATATTAATATTAAAGTTTTGATTAATTAAGTGAATAATTAGAATTATGATCCAATTAAAAATGTTTTAATGTTATTAAAAGAATTATTTTTGAATAAAATAGTATATTTGATTGAATAATAATATATTTAGTTATTTACTTCAATCATCAAGTTCTAAGTATACCTATAATAAATTAACAATTAATTAATTATATATGATAAATTGATAAATATTAATAAATTTAATTACTAATTAAATATCATACTTAATCAATTATAACATTACATTATAGTTAAATAATTACTTACTAAATTATAATTTTATAACATTACTTAATTGATTTATAGTATAATTAATTATGGCATTACATTAATTGATTACTACTTAATTAATAGACTTATAAGTTATAACATTTAGTATATTACTTAATTAAATAATTAAAAATTTAATTAATTATAATATTACATTAAAGATCTATAGTTTGATTACTTAATTCATTATAACATTACATTATAATATGATCACATAATTAATTATAACATTGCATAATTAAATAATTACTTAATTGATTATGACATTATATTATAAACATTAGTAATTACTAATTTACTACATAAACATTAGTAATAGCATAATACTTAATTAAATGATTAAAAATTTAATTAATTATAATATTACATTAAAGATCTATAGTTTGATTACTTAATTCATTATAACATTACATTATAATATGATCACATAATTAATTATAACATTGCATAATTAAATAATTACTTAATTGATTATGACATTATATTATAAACATTAATTATAACATTACATTATAAACAAATGATTAGAAATTTAATTAATTAAACATTACATTATAGTTAAATAATTACTTAATTAAATTTAATATTATTATATTATGATCACTTAATTAATTATAGTATTACATAGTTAAATGATTATTTAATTAGTTATAAATTTATAACATTACACTATAAACATTAGTAATTTACTACATTATTACATTACTTAATTAAATGATTAAAAATTTAATTAATTATAATATTACATTAAAGATCTATAGTTTGATTACTTAATTCATTATAACATTACATTATAATATGATCACATAATTAATTATAACATTGCATAATTAAATAATTACTTAATTGATTATGACATTATATTATAAACATTAGTAATTACTAATTTACTGCATAAACATTAGCAATAGCACAATACTTAATTAAATGATTAGAAATTTAATTAATTATAACATTACATTATAAATTTATAGTACAATTACTTAATTAATTGTAACACTATATTATAATTAAATGATCACTTAATTAATTATAACATTCTATTATAAACAAATTAATTATAAATTTATAATATTATATTAAAGATTTATAGTATAATTATTTAATTCATTATAGTATGATTACATAATTAGTTATAACATTAAATAATTAGATGATTATTTAATCATTATAACATTATATTATAAATATTAATTGTAACATTACATTATAAATAAATGATTACTTAATTCAATGATCAGAAATTTAATTAATTAAGCGTTACATTATAGTTAAATAATTACTTAATTAAATTATAACATTATTATATTACATTATATTATGATAACTTAATTTATTATAACATTACATAGTTAAATGATTACATAATTAGTTATGAATTTATAACATTACATTATAAACATTAGTAATTTACTACATTATTATATTACTTAATTAAATGATTAAAAATTTAATTAATTATAATATTACCTTATATATTTATAATATGATTACTTAATCAATTATAACATTTCATTATAAACATTAGTATATTAATTAAATGATTAGAAATTTAATTAATTACAATATTAAATTATAGATTTATAGTATGATTACTTAATTCATTATAACATTACATTATAGTATGATCACATAATTAATTATAACATTACATAATTAAATGATTACTTAATTGATTATGACATTATATTATAAACATTAGTAATTTACTAATTTACTCAATACTTAATTAAATTATTATAATTTTATTAATTATAACATTACATTATAAATTTATAGTATGATTACTTAATTAATTATAGCATTCTATTATACACAATATTACAATACTTAATTAAATTATTAAAAATTTAATTAATTATAATATTACATTATAAACATTAAACATAAGTAATTTATGTGAATTGTGATGAATTGATTGAATTTAAGTGTTGCCTAGAGATTACAGGTTATGAGTTACATTGGACACAAATGAATGAGTAATCAAAATTTGTTAGGGGTGTATTTGTAAACTTTTAAGGTATTTTTGTCATTTTTTAAACTAATAAGGGAGTGATTGATTTTTTACAAGGTACCCGGGAAAGGAACCAGAACCTGCATTTTAGGTTCTGGTTCCTTGAATTTAAGAATCTGCACTGTGCGGTTCCGGTTCTGGTTCCAATTCCCCCGAAAAATGTAGGGTACCCAGAACCGCTCACCCCTAGTAAAATTTATAGAATGTTTCGTGACCATGAGCATTAAGTAAACTTTAATGTGGGAATGGATATATACCTACAAAAAGTAAATATAACTAGTAAAGGTAAAGGGTACCATCATCACTGAAGGGAACGAATTAAAGCCCAGGGGGTCGAACCATTGGCCTAGAATGAAGTCTATGTATATGCATTGGACTTAATATCATGAAAAATGCTATATTCACCGAAAAATTGTACCGAAAAATTACACCGAAACATGTGGAGGCCGCCACGTTGGATGATTGACTACTGACATAAATGGACGGCCGTCCAACGATTTCGGACGGCCGTCCATACATCGTGGACGATCGTTCATAGTGGAATGGACGACCGTCCATAAAAAAATGTTTTGTTTTAAAAAAAAAAAAAAAAAATAGACGCCCGTCCAAATTTTATGGACAGGCGTCCAGTTAATATGGACGGCCGTCCATATTTTTATGGACGGCCGTCCATAAAGATGGACGCCCGTCCATAAACTTTGGACGGGCGTCCATTGTTTTTTTTTTTAAAACAAAACAATTTGGACGTATCCCACTTCTTCTTCTTCATGGCCTTCCATGGCTTATTCATTGACTCCCTCCATCAAATCTTTTTCATCTTTCTTTCCCATTTCGTGATCATCAGCAGTTACAGTCGTCCATCATAATGGAATTATCTTTTTCATTGTGGGACTGCACATCGTCACAAGACAAACCCAAAAGTTTCACCCCTCTCTTTTCAAACTCCGGAATGTATTGGGCCATTTTAGAAAGTTCAGTTGTACACACAGGTGTGAAATCACCTGCATGCATGGAAATTTTATGCAATCAACATCAAGAGAACACCAAATGAAACCAATATTAAAAGCAAAACAGAAGGTAACCAACC